ATTTACGAATCTTTGCTTGTGTTGCTTATGCTTTGAAACATCCTCAAATTCGTCAAAAGCTTGATGAAGAATCTGAAAAATGCGGTTTCAAAAGCTCTGTATTTGTACTTGACATCTGCAACTTTGAATAAGGGGAAGTGTTAAGATATGATTCAAAGTATTCAAAAAGATATGATTCAGAGTAGTTGAGATATGATTCAAATATTCAAACTACCAAGATCTTAGGAGATTGTTAGTAGATTTGAATTTTTCTAGATTTCGATGATTTACTATTTATGGTCCAGTGTATAAGCTATAAATACGGGAATTGTATAACCCTCTAAGCATCAAGTCAGTAGACAATAATAAAGTAGTGCACCATTCATCTATTCTATCTATTCTATCTATTCTTATCTCTTTCACTACCCCTTTTTCGAACGGAATGTCATTTACTCCCACAAAACCTTATCCAATATATCATGCTAAAATGGATAAGGTTTGCTGGTTTTTCTGCTCATCCCCATCTCTTATTGTCAGGATTGTCTTTGATACTTCTTCTTCTTCTTCTTCTTCTTGTTCCTCAGATCCCCATGGCTGCATTTCTTCCTTTCCAAACTTCAGGGTTCCCTTAGCTAAGCTCTTAGCTGCTTCAAGTTGTCACCTTTTGGTCGCAGCTGTCTCTCCTTTAGCCAGTCCATTCCTTCTCAATAATGCCCCATTACACACCCAATCACATAAAGAAACAGCTGTGGAAATTTCGATTATGAATTTGGAGTTGTGTCTGGTTGTTGGTCCTCAAAGTATGGCGACACACCCACCTTGTCCACCCCGAAACTAAAACCTTAATTACAAACATCACAAAACAAACACACACCGCCATCTGGGGTTTCATTTAATGGGGTTTTTGTTTCCTTATTCATGGCTGTACTTGCTGCCTCTCCAAACCACAACTCAAACTAAATATCAGTCCCCCAATCCCCCAACTTTATCCGTTTTTTAGTTTTTCATGTCAAGTTGTGATTTATACATCATATCTTACTCTAATACTCTATACTAAACTAAGGACACTAGGAAATGATTAGTACCCGCAACTACGTCAACCAAACCAACAATATAAATATATGAATTTATGATCCACGCGAGTTATTTATATACGATGTCTAATTGAAAGTTTAATTTTCTTAATACAATCTCCATGAACATTAATTGTTTATAAATTATGATGAATATATAAATATAGTGTTGTCAACATATTCTATAATGAATGGAAGAAATAAATTGCAAATAATTGAGATTCTTTATTCCTACTCATTAACTCTTTCTTTCTTTTTTTTTTTTTTTTTTTTTTTTTTTTTTTTTTTTTTTTTTTTTTTTTTTTTTTTTTTT